CCTTATGTACTTTTCTATATGAATGTTAAATAAAAACGATTTTTCTAAGGGCAAAAAAATATCATGTGCTAGGCATATAGAAGATACCCTGGGTCACAGTGGGGAATGTCTACTCCTTGTTGGATGAATTGTTTGAGTGCTTCCCTTTTTACCGAAAAACGTGTGGCATTGTAGGCTAACACTATAAATAACAAATTCTGAGAATTTACCCTATGGGAAAAAAATCAGACAAATTGAAAAGGCAGATGCACAAAGATGTATTCTGTAGCCAAACATTGGAGCTACCAAGATGTGCATGAATTGAGGATTGGTTAAGTAATTGATAGAAAAGTCATACAATGGAGGATTCTGATGTAATCAAAAGGACTATATTTTCTGCCAGGGAAAGATGCTGAACCTATGTGGCTAAGTCAAAAGGTAAGCTTCAGAATAGTGCATAGTATGATTCCGTTTTTGTAAAACAACAGTTACTAGCACTGCTACTACTACTACGCACGTATACACAATTTTAGAGGCAGGCAAAAAGCATGACAAAACAAAACAAAACATAACAAAACTAAACTAAACTAAATTAAATTAAACAAGAGGTTATGTACCAAGTTGTTAACATATGTTTTTGTTAGTGGATGATTATGAATGTGTTCATAGTCTATTCTGTGCATGTCTGTATGTGAATTTTGATACAAGAACATGTATTGTTTTATAATCAGAAAAAACAATAAAGGTATTTTTATTAAGAAACAGAAATAAAATTTAATTATAGCATATGCAGTGGAAATGCAACTGGTTTTTAAGCCCAGAACTCTTCCTCCTCCTCTTCCTCCTCTTCCTTCTGTTTTTGTACTGTATATACTTAACACAAACCTTTAAAATGGTTCATATGTACCTTTTCTTTCAAAGTTTAACACTCTCAGGTTGAGGCCAGAAGGTCAATCTGCCCAAGAGGGCTTAACTGTACTTTGTACTACAGTGGCATTTTACAGGATGTTGTGAATGTTCTATTTAAGAAATGAGAAGAGAAGATCCCTCTGCTGTAATCCTGGTCAGAGAGAAATTGAAAGTGAATAAGAACCAAACCAGTTTAATTGACAACAGTTGATAGATTACCAGGCATGTCTAATCAGTACCAGACTACTGTGGCAAATTAATCAGGAAAGCTGCTATTTTGGTTTCCCCTGGGGAGCAAATCTATATGTTGAATGTTCCCTGAATGAATTGCCTGTTTTAACTGTGCTTTAAGTCATCTTCCTGTCTGTCTGAAATTGAAACAGGTTCTTACAGCCAGAAATTGAACAGGTTCTATCCTTCTGTTTTCCATCAAAAATTGTATTCAGGTCTGTTACCTTCTTAAGTTACCCTTTTCAACAACTATTACAGGTTTGCAATTTCCAGACCGTTTCACTATTGTCTATAACAATATCAGCATCAACAATCAAGCCCATAATGCAAATTGTAAATCTGGACTGACTGATTTCTCATCTTAATGTAACTTAATAGATGAGAACTTAAAAGTTAGGAACTCAAGAAATATTAATGACAGTCTATCCTGTTCCTGATATGAATTCAGAGCTTTGAAATAGTATTGGCACTGTTTTGGCTAGATTGTTCCATTTCATGCTTAGAGATACTGTTAAATCGTACATGGCTACTTGACTACAGAGAATCTCCATTTTTTATTGTTGTTGTTGCCCAAACTTAATATACTAATGACTATTTCCTGGTTCAAAATGTGAACATGAGCATGGACCCTACTCATAAGGACTCTTGAAGGAGGCATTCTGCGTCATGAGACCAAGCATCTCAGAACGCTATATCCCATGGACACCTCTGCCACAAATCAGAATCAGAAGTGAAAGGGCCCCAGAACTTGGCTCAGTAGTCCGCTAGCCCGCACCTGAAATGGTCAATGAATACACAGATGAGCTTCTTAAGCTCGAAATCAAAGGCTGGTCCACATGTGCATATCATGGACTTCCACCCTAAGCCTCTGGCTTGATTTCTCTAGCTGCATCTGTTGGCTAAAAGGAACGTTGACAACTCATGCAATTAGTCTGAGCTTCCTCTTTGTTGATTTCCCTATACCATTAATTAACTTAAAGTCTTTATTATTTTTTAGCTGTCATTATGAATAATAACTAAACAGTCTATAAGCCTGTGATGCTTTATATTAACATAGTAATATAATAATACAATATGCTCCATACATATCTAATTGACAACTCATGCAATTAGTTTGAGCTTCCTCTTTGTTGAGTTCCCTATACCATTAATTAACTTAAAGTCTTTATTATTTTTTAGCTGTCATTATGAATAATAACTAAACAGTCTATAAGCCTGTGATGCTTTATATTAACATAGTAATATAATAATACAATATGCTCCATACATATCTATTTGAAGAAAACGGCATTCTTCTGCAACATTACTTTTTGGCTTCTAGTTTCATTTAACAAATGTTTACTAGATGGTGCGGTAAGTGGGAAAGCCAGGTAAGTGGGACCCACACAGTGCCTGATGTCAAGGGCCTTTCAGAAATGTATTTTTCCAGGTTCTTAAATTACTATTTTAAAAACCCAAAGGAGCAAAACACAAACATTCAGCCATAATTTTATTTTTTTGCTTCTCCCTAATATCCAATTAAATATAAAATGCTTATATAAACTCTACAAACTTAAAAAAAAAAAAAGCAAAAAACAATTAGGATATTAAAGTACCAGTGCAGAGAGAAGAGTAAGCGCAGAGAAGAAGGGATGTTATCTAATGGGCTCAGAATTCATCTAGAATAGTAGTCAAATCAGAGCATTCTGCCTGTGATGGATTAATCTGTCATTCTTACAATAAATGTATGACTCCAAGTTTACTTAATGATTAGTATTATTAATCATTCTCAGCAATCAGCTCTGTCATCCTTCATCTGTCCTCATTAAAGAAGAAATAAAAAAAAGAAAGAAACTTAGGAAACCTGCAAATACACCCTCTGATGGATCTAATGCCACACGCCATCACACCATTATTTCTCTCTTTACCCCCGACATGCTTGTGCACATCACAGACATCCAGTAAAATCTGTTGACTTGAACTAACCTGCAGCAGGGAGAACGGAATGGATCTTACCTTACATGAGGCTTCCTTAATGAGAACCATGAACATGTGTTGAGCTCTTCAAAGCACTTTGCCTTATGTAGAGGGATCAAAAATAGTAAATAAATAAGCCAAATAAATAATAAGCCTCAAACCCAAAACACAAAAATGGAATACCCCACCCATTTTCTGGAACTCAGTATTCCCAGAATACTTCTGAGGTTGGCAGATGGTTCTCTATCCCCACAATGCCCAGGATTTGAAGATGACTAGGATACGCCCTCTGGGAGCAGCGTTGATGCAACTGTTACAAGGCAGTCTCACTAACATACACTTCAAAAAGCCATTTGCATTAGGGATCAACTATGTGCTGATTATAAAGAGTACGAGTGTATGGTGGTGGTGGTGGTGTGTGTGTGGGGGGACAAGATGCCTTTACACTCAGGAAAATGAAGCATATTGGTCAGAAAACATATTTAAGAATCTCTAGGAGCTAGATCACAAATAAGCTAAAACACTAGACTAGTTGCATAATTTAAGTTAATTAAATATTATCTTTTTTAAGGAGAGTGCATTGGGCTACAAGACTGCACTAAACGGTAAACCTTTAAAGAAAAGAGTATCACCTATCTTGCCTCTTTTCCTATTGATAGACTGTTCTCTGGCAATGAATCTGGAAAAGCTAAAGTGAAAAGCACCCGAAAAGAAACATCTTGGGGAGTGGTCCCTCGGATCTGACCCAGGACATAATCGCCGCCCATTTCCCGCCCTTTGCACCTGTAGTGTGGCCGAACTAATTGCGATGGCTTTGAGACGTCTGGAGCCATCGGATCCCATTATCCACAACAAAGAACCCCTAAGTACTCAGAAAATTTTCTGAAGGAAATGTAGCGGGTAGAGGAAATGTGGGACGTTAAGAAACAGACCCTGTCTCTGGAGTCTGACACCAAACCGAAGCTCGGCGGGGACCCAGGCATCTGTGCAGGAAAAAGCGCAGGTACAGTCGGCAAACCTGGTCCTCAACAAGATGGTTTTGTGAATGAATGGGTCCTTCTGCTACGCCGACGAGCGCACATTACACACCTCCTTCCTAAATCAGAATTCAAACAATTTGCCGATAATCCACGCACCTCGACATGGAAACGCAGGATTCCAGGGTCTCATCAGACTGGGGGAAAGGGAAAGGTAGCTGGTGCGGTTTCCTACAAGGTTTTCCGGGAACTCGGGAAACCACCGCTGGGGAACGTTGTGTTCAGCGCCAGGTAAAACTTCCCCGGGTTGAGAGCCACCTAACACGGGTGAAAAGGCTCACGCGAGCATCGAAAGGTGCAAAGCAGGCAGTCACTGTGCGCGTGGCGAGTCCCCAGGAAGGGACGAATGACTCTAGAAATTCAGATAGGCGTAAAACAAACACAGGAATGACCGCACACGCCACAAAGGAAAAAACAAAGAGAATGCACCTAGAAACACACTCTGCAAAGTGTAGAACTGTCTACACTTGCACGGAGAATCAATCTTTGCAGCGGCGGACGAAAGGGCAGATCTTCCCGGTTCCCTGTGTCCGGGACAGAAGCGGGTCATCCCAGGGCCAAGGACGTTGCATAGCCCCGCGAAGTCTTCCCGAGAATCGGGAAAGCCAGGATGCGGAGGCTGCCGGGGGCCATAAGGGCGCGGCCGGCCTCGAAGGGGACAGACTCCGGGGTGTCCAGAGAAGGAGCCAAACCTCTGGGAGAAGCGGAGAGTCTGGGAGGCGGCTCCGGAGGGAGCGGAGGCTCCGGGACTCGAGGCCGCCCCAGAGCAGGAGTCAGGGTCCCCCTTGCAGAGGAGGAGCCCACTCCCAGCGCTCGGTACCCCGCGGGTCCCCGGCTCCCCACTCCTCTGCCTCGGCTCGCGGGCGGCGGCGGGAGCCCCTCACTGACCTGCGAGTCGGGACGCGTCGACCTCCCGGACTGTGCTCTGGCGCTCAGGGTGGGACGGGGAGCGCGCCGAGCTCCTCGCGGGCGTCCCTGTCTCGGCGATGGGCGCCCGCGCAGCTGTCCGCAGGAACCCGGCCGGGCGCAGGGGTGCGGCGCGCGGCTGGGGCGCACGGGCCGGCAGCGGGCGCAGCAGGAGTGAGCCCCGGGCAGCAGAGACGACCGCGCCCCGCGTCCTCCCTCCGCCCCCCGGTCCGCGCAACCAATGGCGGCGAGCGGGGCCCACTCCCCGCCGGCCCCCCGCCACTGCTCCGGCTGCGTTTGGGGCTAGGACAGCAGCCCCGCTCCGGCGAGGGAGGAGCTTGCGCCAGGGTTGGAAAATCCTGGAGGACGAGGGGGCATTTGCGCAGGGAGCCCCATCTGGGGGAGGCAAGTGTGGCGCGGTTAACGTGTGTGTGTGTGTGTGTGTGTGTGTGTGTGTGTGTAGGGGGGGGTGCAGCTTCTTTGGAGGCTCAAGGACCTCTCTCTGCAGGCGAAAGCATCTACTTTCTGCCAAGTTTCTTCCTCTCTTACATCTTTTATGAGTCCCGCGCAGCCCCCACTCCAAACCACGAGCCCGGGTGCATCGTAACCAGCTCAGCTCTGAGCTGCATGGGGACGTCGTCCCATCCTACGACAAGCTGCGCCTCAGCGCTTCTCTTCTTTCTCCTCTGAATCCTCTGCCAGATCATCAGATGAGTTGAATAGGATTGCAGTTTCCATCACTGCCAGGGTGACAGGCAATCATAAAAGTCCTTACCGGCTAACTGGCTTAGAGAGAGCTGTAGATCATAAAAGAACTTTGGACAGGGAGCCTTTAACTGATATGACTAACTTCGGTTACTAATCAGCCCCGTGACCTTCACCCAATGACTCTCCATCTTGGATTCCTGTTTTTCAACTGGAATGCGAGGCTTGGATCACTTATGTCTGAGGTCTCTTCCATTCTGACATTCAGCAGTCCTATTGGCTCTCTGGCCTGTGTGGCATGCGAAGAGCTGAGCCCTTGTGAAGTGTTGGCGTAGCTACCTTGTCCTCCAGCCCCTGCTTCACTCCGCCCTGCCCACCGGCATTCACCCTGAGATCCGTCCACCTGCGGCCGCGAAAGCAAATCATGCTAATCAGTACAGAAGGATGCTGCTCAAGTCTCAGAGACCGTTTAGACTTGCGCAAATACTGCCACCCACCAGTGCCCAGCTCCCGGGCTCTTGGGATCTTGTTAATTGTGTTCATGTTCAATGGTTCTCCAGGTAGAGACGGACGGGGGACATCTGGTTTAACTCGGAGGCCCCCTTGGTGAGTGAGCAAAGGCTCTGTCTCCTCCTTCCTTCTCCAGGGAATTGTGGGTGTGTGTTACTCATTTCTACGTGACTCTTTCTGCATCTGATCTCAGATGCAGGACTGTGGAAGGAGCTGCGTTGTGAAGAGGGCAGATTGAGAGACCTGCTTCTCTCCCAACACACAGCATCTTCGTCCTAAACTTCGCCATTCACATGCCACTTTCATGAGTTTTGTTACATCCATCTACCGCCTACTGTGTTATGCACTTAATATTTTACCTTAGATTTTTACTTACCCTCATCATAAGCAATGATATCCATGAAATCATTGGTTTAATTATATACCAATTGTATTCCAATACAAAATAAGTAATAAATAATAATCTGTAAGGCTTTTCTTGATATTTCCTGAACTTTGTTAGTGTATTAAGTTCCTAGGGTTGTTGTAACAAATTGCCACAAACTGTTACAAAACTGATATGGGAGGCAAAGCTTCTCTTATGTTTAGTTTTTGAAAATTTCAATACAAATGATCTAAAAAATTTTAATTGTCAAAGTTACTCCCATAGGAAGTCTTCAAAGGTAGGTCAGGTACTACTCAAGGGCCTGGGAGTTTGCAGGCAGGGTTTGCAGACATAGTTCTAGCTTCTAGTGAGCATGATCATCCCACCTTTCCCCCTAACCCTTTTCTGTCATACACAGAGAGAGATGGATTGTTGAAAAAAGTGTGGAATTTGGAGTCAGATGGAGAGTCATTAAATTCTGATGCTGTCACTTATTATCTGTGTGACTCAAGCCAATCACTTAACCTCTCTGAGCCTCATTTTCCTTATCTATAAAATGGAAATAATAGTGTTCACCTTATTAGATTGTTGTGAGGGTTAACTATACACACACACATACACACAGTTCCTAGCAATTATCTTGCATGTAATAAGTGCTTAAGAATATCAGCTCCATCTTTCCTTCCTTGCTGCCATCAAAGCAACATTCAGAATTTCTTTGTCCGTCCTCTAATTTCCTTCTAGGTTATCAGGAAACTTATGTTCTGTTTCTAATATTCCCTGGACTAACCCTCTGCTTCCTTTACTTGATTCCTTCATCTCTGCCCCCGTTTCGATGTTCCCTTCCCAAACTCTATCCTCTCTCATGCCTCAATCTCCCTTCTTTCAAGCAGTTCTTACATTCCAACTCACACAATTTCAGAGATCTGTGCCCTGTTAAGGAACTGAGATAACTCTGAGAAAAGTGTAGGTCGTAAAAGCTCTTACTTCTTTTGCTCTTTCGTGATGGGTCAATAAGTCCTTTTATTTGTTTGTTTAAATCATGGTCTTCCCAAAAGTGTGGAGAAATTTATACATCTAATGCTATGGAAAAATTCCTGGACCACAAGTCCTATTAAATTCAAAACATTTTTGGAGCATCTGCTATATGCCAGGGAGTGCCCCAGCCACTGGGGAGATAAAAATAAATAAGACAAAGTCTCTGCCCTAAAACACTTACAGTCCAACCAGGCACACAGACATATAAATACACACTTTGAATATAAGTGAGCCTTGTGTAGCTTCAAGCAAATAGGGCACATGAAAGAATTCCCTATACTTTTTTGGTTATGAGATTGTCTTGGACTAGCCAATCAAAATGCCCACCCTGCCCATGGTACCCTGCTGAATGAGAAGCCACGTTCTGTTCCTGTGAGCAGAGCTCATTGGCTCAGGATGGGCTTATACTCCAAGGTCAGCCAACCCTGCATTAGTGTAGTGGATGTCTACATTTTTTTCTTAGCTGTCCATCATCTAGCCCTCTTACTATACTGGAGGAATTCTCCACTGTTTGAGATTTGGTGGGAGGCAGAGCCCGTTTCCCATGGATGGAACAGAAAAGGCCGTATACTCTTTCCTACTCTCCTCATCTCCATCTCAACTCCCTTTATAGCTAGGGTGAGAACATGTGACCTAGACTTGGCCAATCAAATATACCTTTCTTAGACCCAGAATTGAGACTTGGTCATACAAGGGGCCTGAGAGGAGGAGAGCACTCTGTGGCAGTAATTGCAACAACGTCCAGTCTCCAGGGCCAGCAGGGGCAGAGGGACAAGCAGTGATCTCTGGTTTCCAGTGCCCAGGTGTCAATTACAAGTCATAGCTCGTTCTGTTCGGTGATGGCAATAGCATCCTCTCTGGCTAATGTGATGTATGATTTGGCTGTGATTCTGGCTGCTCAGCCTCCCTCTGTTTCTGGTCATTTTCTGAGCATTTCTCTGATCCAATACCCTTTCAATGAATTCCTTTTTTGCTTAAACCAGCCAAACTGATTCTTAGCAACTAAGAGTACTTTGGTTGAGGCCTGGTACAAAGCTCTACCTCAACAAGAACTCTAATTAACTGATCCAGGTAACTTCTCCTTCTAGGGCATTCAAACTATAATATTAGAATGGGTCAATTAGAGTCCAGAACAGAAGCTAAAAACACACACCCATGGACTATGAGGAAGCGGGGACTAAGTGTAGGCTGAAATTATGAGTAAGCAGAAGTTATGAATAAACAAAAGTTATGAGTTAGCAGAAATCAAAATACATGCAAAGGAGAGGAAGAGGCTGATGGCAGCAAGAAAACAGAAGCCAAGAGGAACTGTGTCCCCCTGGTGGTGTGGGAATGGAGGAAACCCTGCTCTCAGTGGGGACTCCAAGCTAGCCCATTCCCCGGATTTGCCTTGAATCCTGAACTATTTTCCAATTTCTGAACTGTATTTCCATTTGTCTGAAGCTGATTAACCCTGGCTTTTCCTAGGATCCTTTGAAATTCCAATTGCTCTTATTTCAATGTATATCCTTGTAATAACTCTCCTATTACCTGAGGCAACCAGGATAAGACTCTATTCTGTATGACCAAAGAGTCCCAAAGATTACAGGGATGATATGGCTAGGACCCCAAAACCAGCTGTCAAATACCGTATCTCAGAAGTCACTGATCTGCCTCTCCAAAGATGTCCTTTCTTTTCCTATCTTACTTGAAATTCTCAGCAGGAAAACCTTCCTCTGGGCTAGAAAATAAATGGTTTATAAGAAGCCCTTGTTTAAAATGTGCTCTATTCCCTGGAGGGAGAAAAGAGTCAGAGGTGTTTCCCTCTGCATTAGCCATTAGCATCTGAGCAGATCATATGAGTTCGTTCTTAAATTTGAACTCGGTAGAGGTCTGATACTTAGGGGATGAGCTAGTTATAGGCAGAAAATTTCGCAAGGGAGGGGAGGGTGGAGAGTAGATAATAGGAAATTGCAGTAAGAGGTCCCTGGGACCTTCTAAGTGACTGTCTTTTGGAACATTCCCATAAGGGAACGTCCTGGTAGGCAGCTGGTGTGAAGGGCGCCAGGAGGCGTGAGGCCGAAATGGTGGCCATGCAACAAGGGGGACACCAACCCCAAACATTCTCACCGCACAACCTGCCTTTCGCCAGCTGCAGAGTATGACCTTGCATAATATCCGTTACCCTTTAGCTCTGTAAGAGATGGGGCTGGGCTAAAGTGGCAAAGAAAGATGGCCATCATATCTGCCCAGTTTGAGATTCTGCTGGGAAATTACACCAGCATTAATGGTGCCTTGGGGATACTTGCATGAATCTGTGGCCTTCATTTTATCTCCTGGAACATACAGTGCCCTCTCATGGCTTGTGAAAAAGGAGATATCTGTATGTCTCACCTAACTGATTCTGTTAATGAGACTTGACACAGGAAGGAAGGAATTTATACATGCTGCTGTGTTTGAAGGGAGGAAGATGCATTGAAGCTGCTTTAATGAAAGCAGAAGTCTGAAGTTATCCCTACGGAGCTTTATTTATTTTCTCAAAGTCTAAAATGTACCACAAGGTATTTTTTTT